TTTTGGCTTCGGTTCTACAAACGCCATAACCGGGGTGAAAAACAAAGTCGTTGCGATCCAAGGTAGAGGATAATGGAATTGCGGAGGAAAAAAGCCAGAAAACGGCAAGGACAAAACAGATGTGCCTTTGTTTGAAGAATGTCCAATATCGACTTAGGCGTGAACTGGCCATATATCTGTCAAAAGCGGTCAGAGTCATGGTAAGGACAGTGAAAATGCCTAGTACCGAGATAGCATAGCCTTGAAACTGGCAAGCGGACTCGGAAGAGACCCATTCGCCTTTGATAAGAGCGCCGAGTGTGAATGGCATAACGAGAAGCGATGTCACCAAATCGATAATTGCATACGATAAAATATATATGTGAATGGTGTACCGCAATCTTACATTTCTGTAGATCGCTGAGCACACAATTAAACCGGATAGAAATCCCGCTATAATCAAGCAGCCGGTGATTGAACTCTCCGTTACTACAGTCTCTGTGCATCTGTTGCGTAGTGCCGTGTGAAGATCGCTGGAAGCTTCTTGATGTGCACACATGTTAAAGATGTCCGACTCTTTTTCAATTTGAGTAAAAAGCTGAAATAGCAACAAAGAAGGCGATTCCCACGTCGAAAAGCGAAGACACGCGTTTTCTTTTAAATCCTTATGACTTTTGGCGCTGTTTAATTCGGTGTTTGACGACTTGAAAGTTTTCAGTCGATCGAAAGTTTCCAACTTTGAGTGCGTATGACTCAACAGCTGTGTCGTAAAATACGACACCGCATAACTATATCCACTACCAATGCGTTTTATCCAAAAACAAGATTTTCACTCTTAGCTCAGGATTTTACAGGCTTTCAGGCTTGATTCTTTCTGCATAGTTTCGATAGATATCAATAATTTGATCGTGTTTATCACGAATATGAGTAAACGAATAATTTATTAGTTTGACGCACAAAGATGACTTTCACCTGCTCAAAAGTAATCTACACTAAGTTGTTTTAAAAAGTTGACCAATAGTCAACAATTATGTTTAAGTTGCAGTTTGAATCTCTGCCGTTATGATAATTAAGCATGTTAGACTATTCCTGAAATAAACTCAGTGCTTAGCAACCTTTGTTCTGTCTAAAAGAAGAGGAAACAAAATATTGTCGTTATCGCTGGAACCCTGCCAAGTTGCCTTGTGAATTTTATTTCGCAATATCCTTTTCGAGAATGAAAATCCTTTGTAGCATCATGCAAAAAAATCCAACTCAGTGGAAGAACAACTGTCTGTAGGATCCAAACTTCTCACGTGATCGCACAATTAAAATGACGACACTTAATGCAACGAGAAATCAGCACTTATAATTTCAATATGGTGTTGGAGGTTCGAGGCGTCGTGTAAGTATACTGCGCAAGCGCGAGACACATGATATTCTTACAGACGTACCGTCTGTCTCGGTAAAAATCGTGGAATCGCTTCATATGTGATCATTGAATTATTGTCACAACGATCAAATATCGTTTCAGTTCTAATTGAAAAGGGTAATAAGACAAGAGACAATTTTCCTCCTGATATGTTTTAGAGAACCGAGAGGCAAAAAAACCGTAACCTCCTAAAGAATGAAACGCACCTCAGGGCGAAGAAATATTTACTCATTACTCTTCGGGTTATTTCGGGCACAGTTCGAGATTCTAAAAGAAAAATCTTTCAGCCAAGGGCCTTATGCAGAAGGGTTGTATAGAGCCAAGAAAAAAAGATAAGCTATTAATAAAATGCGAATGTTTCAAAATATGAGAAAAATGTTGTAAACATTTCAAAACATAAAAATGATTCAAATTCTTGTTTCATTAGACATATGAGACAAATTGAAGCAATTCAATTAGTGCTGTGGGGAAAAAAAGTTCGAAAATCGTAGGAGCCTGATTTTGTTCAGGGTTTGTTATCTGTTTCTTTATTTGAACTTAAGCTGTTTGCATAATTTCCTTATTTGTAACATCCACTGGTCAAAATAACATTTATTTTTATCTAATTATGAAAAAAAATGAAGCTGCTAAGTCTCTCTCAAGTTAGTATCTGAAATCCGTCTTCCGAACTAAAGTGCATCTCATTATGGATATCATGAATAGAGATTCGGCTTATTTATATACGAAGAGATCTAGCCGTAAGTTATAAAAGATGATCCTTAGGAGAGGTGAGCTTTTCATCGGAATTACTCCTAATTTCCTGTTCTTTTTTCACCCGCAGAAAACTGGTAGCTTCTATTCGGGTCACCTGTTCACATGTGGAGAAGCTAGTGCTCTGCGAAAACGCTTTTGCTATTATCATTTCATGCTTAGATTCGGCTTATTCATATACAAAGAGATCCAGCCGTGAGTTGTAAAAGATGATCCTTTGGAGAGTTGAGCTTTTCATGCTAATCACTCCTTATTTCGTGTTCTTTTTTCACCCGCAGAAAACTGGTAGCTTCTTGTAGGGTCACCTGTTTACATGTGGAGCAGCTGGTGCTCTGCAAAAAAACTTTTGTTATTATTCTTTCTTGCAAATAAATGATTCAGGATAATTTTTAAAATTTTAAGAGGAATATTGTTTTGTAAGGTTTTAAAAAAGTGGTGGCGTCACCATGAGTTTTGTGAGTGTAAGGATATCGTGCACCAGGGAATAATCAATTTAGCTGATAAACTCCTGAAACTTATTCAAGGAGAATTCTTCTATGACAAGTTGTGATATACAGGATGTTATTGTAAAATAACATAGAACTAAATAAGTAAAGATATGAGAGTTAGCGAGTGCGAAAAATCTTTCATAAAGTGAATTGAAAATTGTACTGGAATTCTGATCTCAATTCTCTTTATTTGCTATCATCTCGTCTAGTATCCATTACAAAATGCAGAGGGCTTCCGCCATGATTGCTTATTGAAAGATTAAAAACACTAAATAGGAAGATCTTCTCTGATACATAACAGCACTGCATGGCACTGTTTATGCATGTGTTTTGATGTCTATACCTCTTAAGATCTGATTGTTAGATCTCCTCTCCAACTTCCCTAAATTTCTTTTTTGTAAGCTAGGAGAATTTGTTTTATTATCGAAATTACTATATCAAGCTTATAATTCGCCTGACCTGTTCTCCAGATGAGGTCTTGAAACTGTGACGAGAAGTTGCATTGTAATCACTTTAGAGAAAAAAGGCTCAACAGCTTAATAGCAGCTTTAAAATAAGAACTGACACTGCAAGAATTGACCAATGAGATTGCGCTCCTAATTACCCGCGCACGTGGTCTGCCGACTATCCTACCGTGCAGTGCAGCTTTTTGTTTTCTTTGTTATAATATCATATTGTTTTTTTTTACGCTTAAAAGAAAAGAGGCTTTTCACGATCAGTTAAAACAGCAGCATTAAAATGTCATCGACAGATGAACTCCGCGAGGTTCAAGTTGAAATTCGCGGGACCGAACACACAGCACAGCGTGGACATCAGATGAACATTGAAGACAGAGATCCGGCAGCCATGAACGACCACGTGAAGGTAAGACGCGACTTGCCAGTGGCGATCCAACCAATTATTCGTTCTCTCCAAAGAAGGGCTAACGCTCGAAACTTCAGCTTTGAAACTCTTAACGGTGGCCGATTTAAGTTATCAACTTAGTTGATAGTACTAAATTACCCGACCAATTATTAACCGAACCTTCTAATATCTGCATTCTCGTCTCTCTTTTCCATTTAGGTATTCTTCCAAGATGTTTTCGCGGAACCCGGAGGCTCCCACAGCATCGATGGAGTTTGGCGCACGAGCTTCAAAGCGTTTGTCAACACCAAATACTGGTGCTATCGAATCATTACAGCCATCCTTGGTGTTCCAACTGCGGTACTTTGTGGTATATACTTCGCCTGCCTCAGTTTTGACTACATATGGTGCATAATGCCTTGTCTGAGAGCGTACATTATTGAGTTACAATGTCTGGGCAAGATCTTTGGGCTTTGTGTCAGGACATTTTTCGATCCGTTCTTCGAATCGGTTGGGAAAGTATTCGGGGGAATCAAGGTTTCAACTCAAAAAGGATAAAACTGACTTATTAAGGTCCATAGTGATTATATCCACGACAGGAAATTTTTTGCCATCTAAAGAAAGAGTTGGTATGATACTTATTGGAGTGAATTACGGCTATATATTTTAGGAAACTGTTGTCAATTAACACATAAACTGAGGGGTGCATCATGTACTCGCTCAAAATAACCTTTTCTGGATTAAACTCAGTTTCACTTTCACTTTTTGAAGACTTCAACCCTCAGGGCTTACTAAGCACAGCGAACCCAATTTCTACCTTGAGGCCATTCTAAGTCGGAATGTGCCATGTTTGATATCCCTCTCATGTACCTTAAAGTAAAAACACCTCACGAGTAATCTCGTACCCAGACTCTACCGTGTAGCAGTAACTGAAATGAAGGATCCTTATAACTGCTTTGCCGTGGAGGGTCTGGGCACGTGACTACCTAGTGATAGGTTGGGCTTTTCGAAGGGAGCAAGACAGCATAAAACTCAAAAAAGGACGTAAGTGTGGATATTTTCCCGAACACACAGGCAATAAAGAGAAATTTCAAACATTATCACGCAGGTAGTTTTATATATAATCTTTTATCGCCTGTACGAGATTCTAGTCCAGAGCAGTGCGTTTCCGTGATGTTTCACGGTTACCAATTTATACTCCTGTGTGGAGAGTAGCTCAGTGAAATAAACTTTCTTCTTAAAAGACAGCACATTGACCTGGGCAGGGTATGAATATGGGCCTCTTAATGAAAACCCAGCACGTCAATAAGTCCAGGGCCATTGTATCTCCCGAGCTTTGATTGGTAAAACTTGTAAGATCTTGCATGATCATCAAAACGGGCAAAAAAGGGCAATTAAGGCTTACAAAATTTTTCCAGTAGTAACAAAAATGCTATAAATATCGATACCAAAATCTAGTGGGGAATTTTGCGATAGTCACCGGAATCCTGAATCCACCCCACATAAAAGGAAATTTAAGAGGATTGAGCCGGCCATTTTAAAAATCGTACCACTACCAAGAACTTATTTTAAACTTGAAAATTTGACAGCAATTCCGAAGAAACTGGACGTGCCCATTCCATATGATCTTTGAAATCGTAAGATTGTGGACATAAAGGATTTGTTGATGAGTGTTATCAAATTTGGGAGTTTTCTTTGGCAATATAACGAGAGTAATGGAAGACAAGATTTCAGCTATTGATACCGCTTGTAATCAATTTAGAAAAGCGTTAACTTAAGGTCGTCTGGGCCATGGCTTCAACAAGCCGACACAGTTTTAGAAAATATAATTACTTTCATTGAAACAATGTGAAATGAACGAAAATGTAAAAAAATTGATCCATATAGTAAATCGAAAGACGTGTAATGTTATGTGTCTAATGAGGAAACGTTTTGCGTTCTGGCATTCGAGATCATATAACTGACTTAAAACAATTGAAGTGTATATAGAAGTCGGCATAAAAGAAGTTGGCCAAAAAAGCTGGGAATGAAAATTTGTTAAAACGACTCAAAAATGACAGAGTGATTGAGATTTCAAAACCGAGAATAAGTAACGAATAAGAATATCAAAGGTGTACCTATAGACAAAAAGGGAGCGTTCTTGTCATAGAAGATTTGTCGATGAGTGATATACACTAGAAAAAAGATAACCCTTTCGATGAACCGCAATTAACGAAATTGCAGAAAAAACCCTGAAAAAAATTCAAGCCTCAAAGACACCTGTACTTGTAGATCATCCGTAGGTCAGAAAATACCTGTTTCGTTGTAGCGATTTGCACTTATGAAGTAGGGACGTTGCCTGATTCTTGTTTGAACGTGAATCAAACCCCTGACCAATGCAGCACTCAAGACGCCCAGAACTTCTATTGATATTTTTAACCCGCTTTTTGAATACATCGATTTTATACATTCCTTTCAAAATGGAAAATATTGTTTTAAGAGTTGAAAGT